TGACATACAGAAAAAGAAAAAGAAGACTTACACGCTAGAATTCTACTGTGTAACAGAGAAAAAACTTTAGAAAGAAAAAATATTTCTTTTGAAAAGAAAAGAAATGATTTTTGTCATAGTTCTAATATAAATTGGTTGGTTGGTTGGTGACATTTGTTGCTGTGTAGGAGTACTGTAAACGTTGCGAAACGAGTAAATTATGAAAATATTCTGTTTCTTTTTCCGTTATCTATAGTTGCTATTTGATTTGATTTTTATTGGACAATAAAGAAGATAATAAAGAAAACAATAATAGAATGTTGCAAGCATAAGAGAACAAATGCGAAGGAGCTTAGGTGTATAAGAGGCAGAATGCAGAGGGATAGAAAAAAAATGAGATAGAAGACAGATGATAAGTACAGATTCATGGTTCAGTGACCTACAGAGACGATAAGAAAACAGAGTAGACTGCGATGATTATAACCAGACAAACTGTTTCTCAGTATTTTGCGAATTGTAACGGGTGATCCAAGATAAATTGCACTAAATTCTGATGCATTTTTCTCTCATTTTTCATTTATGAAAAATATGCTCTAATATACCAAAAGATAGAGAATTTCAAGCTCTACAAAACTGTTTTCTTTTAAGATTATATGTATTTTCTTTAAAGCAATTTCGGATGAAAGTAACAACTGTTCCGGATAAACTGCGCCAAATCTTGCTGCATTTTTTTCTCATTTTCGAATAATGCAAAAGATTTGCAACGCGATGAAGATTATGTCTTTTAAAATAAAGAATACAGTTTTGTAGCGCTTGAAATTCCCTATCTGTTGGTATATAAAAAAATCTTTTTCATTATTCGAAAACGAGAGAAAAATGCAGCAAGATTTGGCGCAGTTCATCCTGGAACAGTTGTTACTTTTCATCCGAAATTTCTTTAAAGAAAATACATATAAATCTTAAAAGAATATAGTTTTGTAGAGCTTGAAAATCTCTATCTTTTGGTATATTAGGGCATATTTTTCATAAATGAAAAATGAGAGAAAAATGCACCAGAATTTAGTGCAATTTATCTTGGATCACCCGTTATAGCCATTTTTAGTCGGAGAAAAATGATATTACACAGGTAGATACATATGACTTTCAGCTACCCAACGATGTAAAAATTGTCTGAAAATTCATTACTGTTAATTAGTGCTATTCAATTTCCAGTACGTTACTGCTAAATGATTATAACTCCCCATTTCGGGTAATGATAAACAGTCAACGTATACCGTCGGGGGATGGATGGCAGAGTTCCTACAAATTCAGACTTCTACCTCGCTTTCAGCAGAATTCAACAATAAGACAGAATTGAATGTAGAAAAGTCAGTAGACCAATCATATTAAGCAGAACTGAACCCCTGTTAGCAGAATTGAACATTTTTACAGCAGAATTGAAATAGAACTGTATATAGGTCCAGCAGAATTGAACAACGATGAGACAGAATTGAGTGTAGAAAAGCCAGTAACAATTCTGAATCTGGAAGAACTCAGCCACTGCTGCGTCGGGATAATTATATCCAGTACAGCAAAAATGGCTGGAACGATGTAGATCAACTTAGATTCAACGGTGAACTTCTTCGTTTTCAATTAAAAATCAGTCCAGCTTTTAGAGAATTTCAAGCTTTATCTACCTTTTGAATTGCCAGTCAATCGGCTTTAAAGTAATTAGTTAATGAGAAATTAGTAAAATTTAAAGAAACAGTCATTTTTTCCTATTTCCCGCGAACTGGGATAATTATAATCACACTGCTGTTTTTCATGGGGTAATTATAGCCACTTCGTGCAAATCACACGGAATACACAAAAAACAACTTCCACCGTCTCTCAGAAGCTGGTTTTAATAGTATGCCCAACGGCAAAAGTTATTCAGCACCCTAAGCTCCACACATATGGAAACGTTGCAAAAAACGTGTGAGAAGTAACCTTAAAAACATCTCCAAAACTTTTTCTTAACTTTTTAAATCCCAGAAGTAAAGGATCTGACTGACCAAGCAGTAGACTGAAAAAGAAAAAGTTCAGACCGTCAGATTCTTCAGAATCTCATCTTTCTGCTACAGAAATCACAAAAACGACTGAAAATAGACTATCATATTTAGGAAATACCTTGAAAGTCCAAACGTTTTTGCACAAAACCATGTCCGTTGGAGGCTAGAAAGATTTTTCGGGCGACAACTACGGAGGTTAGACTCTTTCTTTCGAAATGGAACGTCAAACAGGTTTGACAAGCACTTGAATAGGGGCTAACTGCAAGAACAGCTCTCAGGCTCAATTCACCGTGTTGAAATATCCTCGTCGAGCAACATAGCACTTATAAGTCATAAACTGATTAAGACCAATGGTCATACGGCGTCTCTTTTCGAAAGAAAGAGTCTAGCTTTCTAGTTATCGTTGGAAAAATCCTTCTTGCCTCAAATCGACATGGTTTCGTGTTTACACATAGGCATGCTCGTGTTTCGGAATTCCAATTTTTTTCAGAACGCACCTCATATTTCGATAGTGTTCCTTGACCGTAAAATAGCTGTATTTCAGTAACCGTTGCTCACTGAGCTGATCCTTTACCGAATAACTCGAATTTGAAATTAATAAATATCGTTCTATTTAAGCGAACACCATTAGGAATCCGTTTACTCCGAACAAAGTGTAATTAACAAATATCCAGTACAGGCAGAAATCGGCTCATTGCGGCCAACGTACTCACTATAAAAATTCTCAATGCTGTTGATAGTTCATTGGTGACTATGAGAAAATTACATAGAGTAATGCCTGTCATCACATGATTGTTTAGACAACGTAACTCACGGACATGTATAAATGAGTAAAATATGAACAATGCGCATACAGTTGATAGCGTTTGTAATGTGAGAAATACAATAAATTTAATTTTGAGTGTTAATGTTATTTCTAATGCTAACGATGATATCTCATTCACTACACTACTACTTCAATAAAACAAAATGCAAATACTTTTAACGTTTCATATCACAAATCTTTTAGATGATTATATTCAAATTATGAGAGAATAACGCGAGGAGGTCCAATTAATATGCTATATAATGACGGAAGAAAAACATTGACCCCTGATTCTCTAAATACACGAGACATCATAATTACTCAACATCGGGCATCTGATTTTTATTAAAATATTAGTTACACATTTTCTTATTCGTTAATTGTGTTCATCAAACATTATCCGAATACGCCTCTTAAAGAAAAACGATTTCGATTCTTGAAAAGGTCTATAGTGTCTATAGTGACATGTCTAACTGAAATTTGAAAGTCGTAAGAAAATAGACAGGGAGTATATATAACTATAGAAACGTCTTATAGCTTTGAGATGTGCGGCTTCTTTGGTTGCTTTTATTCATGACAAATATTATTTTAGATTTAAAATAGGAAAAATAACAAATTTGATTTTGTTAGTGTTTTGAAGGAGAGTCTCTTATGTAAGTTTAGGTCCTATCTTCAGTGCAGTCGGTATAATATGGACATAATTAAAATCGATACGTGTTGTGAATATTACGTCACCGTTTGACTGAATATGGACAGGCTGAATATGCCATTTGGTAGCTCTAGAAAAGCTCTATAAGACGAGTCGCAATTGAAAAATTTAGACAGGACGGTAAAAATAATGGGGATCTGCTCTCTTTTGACCTGTCTTAGTTATAATTATTTGTTTCATCAATAAATAAAGTTTAAAAAAAGAAAATTGAAAAAGTCTGACGTTTAAACTAGCATGAAGATCGCTTTCCTTTTCTTTTACCTTTCTGTTCTTTTCGAATTTACTATTGAACTTGCTCGCAACCACGATTTAGTTGGATCAAAACGTAATTCTTATGATCAAATCGTGTACTAATTCGAAAAAAAATGCGTCTTCTGTTATTCTGAAAAGACCAAACACCTGTAAAATAAAGTTTGTAAGTTACAATAGAGAGAGTGCGAAATTGAAGTTAATGCCAAATTATAATGTAGAATTGAAATTGAATACAGCATGGCCTGAAAGGGAACCATACGATACGTACAGTATCCGTTTCTTGCAAGATAGATAACCTTGCAATTATTTAGTCATAGTGGACGATTCTCTTCAGGTGCTTACTAGTATTGGTTGCATAGGATTTCACGATTGTATATTACAGGAACTATTTTCATATGATTTTGTAGAGAATTGAATGGGCTGTGTTTTGGGGAAAAATTCATGTTTCAACTATCAAAATTAACAGAGAAAAGTGAAAAATACAAATAGTGTCATTCTTTATGGAATACTCGTTATAGTTATTTTCAACAATCTTTGTGATCTAATCTGACGTTATAAAATTTGAGAAATTTTTTATAAAATATTATATTTATATTAATATTGTATTTATTTTCAAACGTATATAGATCTTAAACAACAAACTTAACAAATGGATGATGAAATTAAAAAAATCAAAATGACAATAGCTTCAAATGATGCGGTAATATTTGTTGGTACGGGTATATCTACTTATACAACAAATAACGAGCAAAATAGTTCGTTTTACAAAGGATTACTTAGAAATGGACTTGAAAGATGTTACCGGTCAGGATGGATCACAGACAAAGTTATTGATTATTTTAATAAAAAGTTTCAACTATTTACTATCTCAGAGAGTGGCAATAGCGCCACCCTTTAACACATTGCACGCTGTCCACTGATATATCAGTAGCCCAATTTGTTCTATTCAATGATGTCGTCAGCGGGCAATGAGTTAATATGTGTATCTAATACTTTAGCAACTTCACGTTTAAAATCCATCATAGCAGCACCAGTAAATGTATAGGCAAAATATTCTGCACACAGTTTATACTTATCGTCAATAGGATCCACAGTTTTAGCCAAAATGGAAGTATCAATTGGTAATCCTCCACTATTGGCTACTACAGATAAATATATTTTACAATAATCAGAAAAATTAAGATTATATTTCAATTGGTTCACTTTCATAGCATTATAAAGTTCAAGTAAATAGTTTGCTATTTTTGACGACCATCTTGCAATTGGATCTTTTAACGTAGAGATTAATTGTTCTATTCGATTTTTAAAGCTTCTTAGAAAAGTTTCATTTACTTCTTGTATAATATCATGAATAAGATCGAAATCTCCTAGTGTGATTAATGCAATCCATGTTTCCGTTTTTCCACCTGTCGATCGTTTACCACACTTTATCTGCATTCCCAATTGATCTATCAAGTCTATTCCATTTTTCTTCATTAAGCAATTCAAGAATTTGAGTTGTCAGAAATGATTCTTTATAAATTTCATTCCTATCGAATATTGGTTGTGCATTCCAGTGCTGCTTCGATTCGAGTGTACCAAGATGTACACCCATATTATAAGCTGTATCATCCCTGCCCCAAATTTCTTGATAATAAAGAGAAATGGTTCCCTTTCACGCTCACTTGAATGAAGAAATTGAGCAATTTCAAAATATTCTAGAATACTTGTTTGTCATCTTTAATCTCACTTGAATAAAAGCGTAAGACCGAATCGGTTGGCCAGTTTCAAACTACTGAGTCATTGTGTAAATTTTTCAGAAAGATTTCATGAAATCTCATATTATAACCATTTTAATTGATAAATGATGGTTGCACATGGGGCAATGTTCTTGTCGTCATTTATCTTTTCAATAAACCAGTTAGTAAGTAAATTATCATATTCTTTTCTCAGTTTGAGATCATACTTCATAGATTGGATCATACGTCCAATCTCAGGAGACAGGGGAGGGTCGGTGGAAACCGAACAGAGGGAGAAGGATAGACATAATTGTAGACGTTTGAAAAATTTCTGAAGTTTTTTTGCAGAATAAAAGATCTACTTTTTAATCTTTTTGTCTGGCCATGAAATCTTATTTCTTTTCTACAGCTTAAAGAACGACTTTTTTATATGGTTTTCCAAGTCCACTTGGTATAAACCATTTATTAAATAAAGTATTTCGCCATAGCTGCACTAAATCAGAGAAACCATTATATAGATACAGATAAGGTTTTCATTTAGTTAAAAAAAAGATCCATCAAAGTGATCCACTTTTTTGCTTCATTCACGTCACAAACGCGATCCTAGCTCTGCCATCGCGTTAAAATCGCGCAACTCGTGCCGCAATCGCTAAGAAGTAGCTGTTTTCGCGGCGCGATCGCGACCAACTCTTATTTTTGGTAAAAGACACTGGTTGCTTGTGTCACAGTTTTAGTTAAAAAGATGCAAAAGAAAAAGGTGTTTTTCAACACAAAGCTGCTCACAACAGCTTGTAAATCAAAAGAGAAAAATAAAGCCCTGATATCATAAGAGTGCTTTGAATGAAGTGGAAAAAAATTATTGAAAACAAAAGGAAAACACACCCATCCTGTCCTATATCATTCGACGTCAATCATCCATCTCATTGTCATCAGGACCAAATTCTCGGTCTAATTTTCTAAAAACAGGAAAACCGAATTAGCCACATAGACGAGAAGATAATTAAACTATTATTTTTGACAGAACCTGTACAGGATTTTTAGAAAAACCTCAAAAAGTTTTCAGTTCGAATACTTTCAAAAAGAGCGTTACCCACATTCTATTGAAGAAAGATTGTACTACTATAATACGTCTCAGTAAAAGAAGAAAATACAGCAAATCTTCTGTCAAGAATAGCTTGAATACAGAAAAAAGAGATCTGATGTACTTACTTGTGTAGACGACGAATGAAACATTTGGCATCTTGGTAGATCGATGCTACCATCACTGAATTTGGAGGAGCTCGTCTCTTTGTTTCTTTGTAAAATTTAACATCTTCATCTCCCATATTTGTAAGATAAAGTTGTTGGTCGACTGTGTAACGATGCTGTTCGACACATGACAAATCCATCTGATGGCGAAGACGAAGACAAATTACGTTGATGACGATATGGTGGGATGGATGAAACTCGTGTCGAAGTAGTTAGTGTATTTCGGCATTCCAACTGTGTAAGATCTGATGTGGTTGTTGGTAGAGCACGAGGTCGATAGGTCATAGGCGTGCCCATTCTAAAGTGAACAGGAAAAAGCGCTAGTGATGGGGAAGAATACTAAGACAAAAGGAGCCTATACTGAGTATAAACCGTATTCTCAAGATTTACTTTTAAAATAAACAACTACTGTAGTAGCTGTTTATTTTAAAAATAATCTACCCTAACTCATCACCCTAAACTATAGTTTAAGGCTACTCATTGGGTCGCGAAATGAATCTTTATTTCATTCCATATAATTCAAAAGCACTGGATGTTAGAAAACCTTATGTTTTTGTGGAAAAATGCCTGAACACTATTTGTCTGCTTCTTTTGAAAGTTTTTAAGGTGTAAGAAATTACAAGTTAATGGAAAAAGTGTTGAAAAAACGTAGTAGTGTTATCTTTGAAATGAAACTCAAAAATTAAGCATTTTTAACGAAAAAGAGTGGATCAGGAAAATAATTTATTTTTAAAAGACACTTACGGCTATATAATTTTGAATGGACTGTTAGGAATTTTCAAGATCAGGGTTGCATAAAAAGAAAGAAGTAAATTTTCTACTTACATATCATTTCTTTGTGCTTCATTTGTTAACGGAAAACTTCTTCATTCTTTAATTGTGAAATAGGTGCTTTCATATCACATGTAGTTAACGTATTTAATTGACCCGCTTCATTTTTGATCAATAAATAGCACTCTACCAATGGTCATAGACGTCACAACTGCATCTAGCAAATTTTTTAAATTTTTTTCTATATAATTACGGGGCAGATCAGCCGACAATGAAGTGTTTCGCTGTTGACGATATTTCAAAAGATAGCAAATTAGCTTAAAGTCATCCTCTATTTTTTAGAAAAAAAATTTAGGAAAAAATTTTAACAGTCAATTTTGTTAAGCGAAATGGCAAATCCATATCGTCAAAAGATACTACGTCTCATTACTCATATGTGTACAGATACTGTACAACTTATTAACACTCTTGAGTATCTTGTTCATTATCAAGTAGACGAAGACAGACGATTATTTTTATTATTATTCCAATGTGAACAAATTCTTCAATTACTTCCTGTTCTACCCACTTTATCCAACTATCAACTAATGCTCCCTGTTGACAGATTTGAACGAACTATGACGAGCTACAGTCTACTCCTCGTAGATTCTGTTCCCTCACTGGCAGAACAATTGACGAATTCAACAACATTTATCAGCTATTTACGATCAATATGATTCATAAAATGACTATTTTTCGTCGGAGAATACACAATTCAAGATTCAACATTAATATCCTTTTATTATTGCTGATTTGGCTCCGTCATTATCCAACCTACAATGTGCTTAGTGTCATGTTCAACATTAGTCCATATCAAATCTGTCGTATCAGATTATTCTGTTTTCCAGTTCTTGTGAAAACTTTGAACCATCTGATTGTGTGGCCCGACGCAAATGACATGAAGGAAATTATATTGCTTCATTCGGTATTAGGACGGTATATTGATTCAATTGACGGAACCAGACACACGATCAGAAGACCAAGTACGTTTTGTCTGGTGAGAAACAACTGTGAAACAAATGTGTTTTTCTATATGTGAATATCAACGATTATTTTATACTGGAAAGAAGAAGAATCATTGCATCGCGTCGACCTATATTGTATCAACTGATCGACGCTTGATCTATTTTAAAACGGGTTACCTTGGTTCCGTGCACGATTCTCGTATGCTCGCTCATTCAAGAGCTCTAGTGGATGCGGTGCCTCCCATCCCAACTAATTGTAAAATTCTCGCTGACAAAGGTTTTGCGAATGACGGTCCCTTACTAACTCTTATTCGTCGAAACGAATACCGCCAAATCTCTGTTCAAGACAATCAATTATTCAATTATTATTTGTCGAACAAACGTATTTACGTTGAGCATTTGATGAAGGAACTTAAACTTTTTAAAGCCGTAGCTGAATCATATCGTCATTCTCATGCTCAATGGCAGGGAATCTGTTTGTGTGTGGCGTTTCTGGCTAATTTATTTCTCATCTGAGGGCTTCTCTCCTCCTTTCTTTACATTTTCACTCAACGTTTTTTAATTTTCCTTTCAAAGTATGCTTAAACATTTCTTGTTAAAATCAAAAGAAAATAGAGTCTGACAAAGTCTTCAGTGCGAGAGTTTGGGAAGACATATCACAGTGACACTATTAAGTCTTTTAGACGAAGAATATGCTACAATAGCAACAGAAACTCGCTCATCTTCACTTGGACGGGAGAAAGAGAGGAAAGTAGCCAAACAGGGTCTATCAATCTGCACAGAATGTCCTTTATGAACGTCTTCAGAACTTGAGAAAATTGCTTTTTGGTTAAGTCTGTTCCAGCAGATCTCTTTAGTCACTTTAAAAATCAACATAAACATGAATTTTTCCAATAGTATCTGAAAAGAGACGATTATCAGTTTCGAATAGTAAAAGACAATATGAAGGCAACAGAAAATACTCATTGTCTCCTACAATAAAGCCAACGCTTCTTTTCTGATTAAAAGTGTTTTACATACTTTTACCGAAACGTAGCTGACAAAGATGTGAGAAACATGTTTATTTCAGCATACGACAAAAAGAACAACGGATAAATAAGAAAGGAAAACAGAACGAAAAATTTCTCTTTTTTTTTCCGAATGTCTCCTAATGTTCACATTAGGATATGGATATGTGACATACAGAAAAAGAAAAAGAAGACTTACACGCTAGAATTCTACTGTGTAACAGAGAAAAAACTTTAGAAAGAAAAAATATTTCTTTTGAAAAGAAAAGAAATGATTTTTGTCATAGTTCTAATA